CCTTCCCCGCTCGCTGCTGCGGTGCTGGGGTGGGTTTTTCTATTTCTGCTTGTGAAAAGGTTTCCCCTGTAATTACGAGGTGATTTAACGCCCCGCCTGAGCTGTCGTTCACAGCTGCCGGACACAGCACTCAGGCTCTCGGCAGGGACTCCTCAGCCCGGCAGTCACACCTCGGGCAGCCCTCAGCAGTGTCCCTTCCTCACTTCAAGATGTCCCTGTCGCACACGGCTGCCGAGTACATGCTCTCTGATGCTCTGCTCCCGGACCCCAGTAGTTCCCGGGCCAAGGGCTTGCGGCTGGAGCTGCCGAGCGATCGCCTGCTGAAGTTTGTCACCGTGGGGCTGCCCCTCTTCCTCGTCTCGCTGGCTTTCGCCCGGGAGTTCTCTGCTGGTGAGTTGTGGCTTTTCCAATGTGTTCTCCAGGTCGTGGGCAATCATCAGTGGTGGTTTGGTTGTCGTGGCAAATCCCTTGTGTTCTTGATGATGTCGTGATCCAACGGGGAACAGCCTGGAACAGTTTTAGGAGCTGTTCTGCCTCATGGGTGTTTATTGATTGTTTTTAATGGATCATAATTCAGTGGGAGAGCGTGGGAACAGCTGTGCTAACCCCAGGAGCAGCACTGAGGCAATGCCCAGCCTCAGCTGCTTGTGCCCAGCACCTTTGGGTGCCATGGGCTGGTTTCCAAGGAGGAGGAAGAGGAGGAGGAGGGTGCCAGCAGCATGGAGAGATGCATTGTGACCTCAGGCTAAATCTGGCCTCGGCCAACATCTAACTGCTCTCCCTGAGGGTTTGGTTTTACTCCAGTTTCTGGCTGGTTAGTTGTTAGTCTGTAATTCCCTACACTGTGTACACACTGCTACACACAAAGGGTTTGTGTTTGGGAAGAAATGGAAAAGTCCTGGCTAGAAACACAGCAGCTCCAAAATGACCATGGAAAAGGCTTTTTTTGATTCAAAGCAATGCCTGAGATATAATTACCCTCCTGTAAGGGATTTGCTTGTGGCTTTGGAGTGTTCCTCCACCCTCCACGGCTGAGATTTGCTCTCCTCCTCCTCGCCCCAGGCTCCCAGATCAGCTGCTTCTCTCCCACCAACTTCACGGGGAAGCAGTCCGCCTACACCGACACGGCTTGCTGGGACTCCCTCATCCACCACGGCTTCGACGCCGAGGGACGTGCCATCACCAAGTCCCTCTGGGCTCTCAAGGTAGGCTCAGAGTCACCTCTGGGTGCCCCTGCATTCCTCTGGATGTCCACAGCCAGAGCGACTCCACATCCTCCGTGACCGTTCGTGTTCTTTGCCCAGGCCTTCCCCTACTCGCTGCTGGTGGTGGCGGTGCTGATGTACCTGCCGTACCTGCTGTGGCGCTACGCTGCTGCCCCCGCCCTGCACTGCGACCTCCTCTTCATCATCGACGAGCTGGATAAATCCTACAACCGCTCCGTGCGCCTGGTGCAGCACATGAAGAAGGTGCAGCAGGCCAGTGCCGAGCCAGAGCAATTCTGGGAGGAGTACGAGAGGTGAGGCCAGGCCAGGTCACCATGGCCCTTGGAGTCTCTCCATGTGGTGTTGTGGCTGCACCAGGATGGACCTGGGTGAAATGGGGGGTGGCTCTCACTCCCCCTGTGTCCCTCCATCCCCAGGGCCCGCCGGGAGAGGTATTTCGAGTTCCCGTTGCTGGAGCGGTACCTGACCTGCAAGCAGCATGCTCACGCCCTGGTGTTCATCTACATCCTGAGGAACCTGCTGCTGCTCCTCTTCTTGGCTGCCACCTGCCTCTACCTGGTCTTTCTCCACCTTAACATCTTCTTCCAGGATGAGTTCAGCTGCTCCATCAAAACGGGGTTGCTCGAGGCAGAGCCGCACATCCCGTCGCTCATCCCTTGCAAGCTGGTCTTCTTCTCCGTGTTCCAGCTCATCAGCCTCTCCGTTGGCAGTGTCTATGTCCTCCTCATCCCTGTTGTCATCTACAACGCCCTGCAGCTCTGCCAGTGGGACAAGGGGCTGCTCTCTGTCTATGAGATGCTGCCTGCCTTCGACCTGCTCAGTCGCAGGATGCTCACCTGCCCCCTCAACGACCTCAACGTCATCCTCCTCTTCCTGCGTGCCAACATCTCCGAGCTGACCTCCTTCAGCCGCCTCAACGCCGTCAGCGCCCTGAGGGAAGCCACTGCCAACAAGGAGGACATCGACACTGTCATCGACTTCATGACGCTGCTGGCTGGGCTGGAGGCCACCAAGCCCAAACACCAATCCTGCACCCCCGAGGCCGAAGGCAGCACAGCCCTCTCCAATGGTGCAGCCCTAGGTAGGCTTTTAGGGTAGAGACAATTTCTTCCCTCTTCTCTTGGCTCTCACAGCATAAGATCCCACCCTCAATATGTGGCTGGACCACCCTCAATCCTTTGCCAAGACCTTAAGGGGTTTGGGGCATAGCTGGGGGTCACTGTGAGGGCTGACAAATCCTGAAAGGGGTTCTGGCATGCAGAGTGTGATGCTACTGCGATCCAAAGTGTGGGCAGGGGTTGCTATAGGAACAGCAAGCCAAGAGATTGCTGCTTAAATCCAAGCTCTGGGCAAACTGCAGGGCTGGGAGGGTCCCTGGTTTTGGCAGCTCATCCTGCTGGGAGTGGGGTTGGGAGTTTCAAATCCTGGGGGGCTGATGCCAAGGATGCCATGCCTGCATCCCTTCTCCTGTTCATATGGCACTGCTGGGCACAGCGGTGCTGTGTGTGGAGATGGGTTCCAAGATAAAACCACATTCCCAGGACCTGCACTGCTCCCTCTCCCACATGCTTTGGGTTTTGGGGAGCTGGATGCCTCCGCTGGGGTCTCACAGGGACCCCTGGTGCCCATGGCAAGTGGTTTGCAGGCTGTGTGAGACAGCCCAGCCCCACAGGTAGGAGCTGAGAGGCCTGGGCTTCACTCCTGGCCCTGAACACACAGTCTGAATTATGCTTTAAAAAATCCACCGACTGAGCTGGATTCTGCATCCTCGTTACTATGGCAACCCAGGGCCAGCACAGCTGGCTCCTGGGCCAGTTACTCGGTGCTGGAAAAAGCCCAGATCCCAGTCTGCCATTGCCCAGCTAATTAACTGCCTGCTCTTGTCTAGAACCAAAGCCTGGAGTGGAAAGGATGGGAAAAGCCTCACGGGACTCACTCGGCTCTGCCTGACCCAGGAGGAGGCAGCAGGAGGGATCCTGTCATCCCAGGATCCACTTTTCTGACATAGCTCTACTGCAGCAGCCAGGCTGAACCCACCTGTGCTTCCTGCACCTGGCCTTCCCCTTCTTATGTACATTTGTCCAGCCAAAAAGGGTTAAACAATCAATATTTTGTGCAGAACCTCTTTGGGTCTCTTATTCTAAATGCTGGGTGCCATGCTGTGCCTCTTCCACACAAATTTCCCTGCTTTTTTCGCAAGAAGTGGGGCATGGAGGATTAGGAATGCTCATCTGAAGGAAAAAAAAAAGATCTAGGAATAAAATGAGAGATCCAGGAATAAAATGAGTTGGTTTATTAACTTTTTATTAAGAGAGGGAGGTGGAAGGCACTTGCAGCCCTCCACAGCTCCCTGTCCCAGCCCAGCCTTAGTATTTGGCTGTGTTTTTTTTGGCAGAGCTCCTCTCTCCCCCTCTCCACCCTGCAGCTGGAAGCTGATCCCTGGATCCTGTGAGCACCCTACCCTGGGGATCAGCAGTCCATGCCCAGAGAAATGGGGTGCCTGGGGGGCCAGGACCAGCTCCACTGCTGCAAGGGAGCAGCAGTGAGGGGTTCAGCTCCCATTGGTGTGTCCTGCTGCTTCGCCTTACATAATTTTTCATAGATTTAATTGTAAATTGGCTTTTCCCCCTTCCCCCCATTCTGTAGCCTTGGCTTGAGTCCACAGAGGAGCTAAAAACTTGTTTAATTAATAAGGGAGTAATGAAATCTCTGATTCCATGGCTCGGGAAGGGACAGTGCCAGGAGCCATGAGTGCTTTGCCAGAGCTCTGAGCTCACTCATCTCCCTAATTTAGGGGGAACCCAGAGCTGGGGAGGAGCAGCAGCTCCCTCCCTTCAGCAGTGCTCCCTGCAGGGAGGGTGTCCAGCAGGAAGGAGGGTGCAGGCAGCCCCTGGGAGTTGTAGAGGGGACAGGCCAGGTACTCGCAGGGCCACTCAGCCCAGGCATAGCGCAGCCCCAGCACCAGTGTCCTGCAGCCACTCAGGGCCAGCGTCACTGTGTGGGACCTCACTGCCACCACTGGTGCCAGCAGCCACTGGCACGGGGAGGCCAGGCTGGAGCAGCACACCTGGGGAGCAGAGAAACCCCCATCAGTGCTGCCTTCCCTTCTGAGCTCCTTGGAGAGGATATCCCACTGCTCACCTCAAATGCCTGTGCGTCCCTCTGGCGCCAGATGAGCTCCTGGCTGTAGGTGACATTCAGCAGCCCCCTGGTCACCTCCAGGACAGCCCGGGTGGGAAATGGTCCCTGGAACACAAGGCCCTTGTCCCCATAGGCCACAGCCAAGGCACCCAGCAGCAGTCGGTGAGCCACACTCTGCTTGTCCCGGGGGTGGACACTGCCCAGGAAGAGGGGAAAGATGGAGCTGGAACCCCAAAACTCCATCCCTACACCCTCACCCCAGCCCAGGACACACCTGCCATAGGGAGAGTGCTCATCCCCCAGATCCATGGCCACAGCCATGAAAGTGCTGGGCATCCTGGCGTTGGGAACAACGCCCAGGTCGGCTGTCTGGTGCCAGCGGAGCCGGGGAAAGCTGTCGTCTGCACTCTCATGGCGGTAGGTGGACAGCTGTGAGGCACAGGGGACATGGGGGAGTGGCTCAGATCCCAAAAGTGGCCACTGTGGTCCTGCCTGTGATTTTCAGCACTTGGCAGGATGCACATGTGCTTACAGCATCCTCTCCCTGGGTATCCCCCAAGGACAAGGGGGGATGTCACCCCTCTCACCCCCCACACCTGCACAAAGCCAAAGGGGAGACGTGGCTCTGTCTGTCCGGCTGATCCGGTGTGGAACGCCCAGCGCCAGTCAGCAATCAGTGCAGGGAAGGTGCAGTTGTACTGGTCTGTGTTCAGCAGGGTATTCTCCTCACCTGTCCCCAGAAAGAAAGGCTGGTTAGAGCTTGGTGGGACAGTGGGGGCTGCTCCACCCCAGGGATAGAAATGGGGGCTCACCCTGGTACCAAGCGACGCCCCGCAGGGTCATGTTGAGCAGCGGGTGGATCATGGCATTCCAGAGCACCGAGGGCGTTTTTGGGCCAGAGGGATGCTGATGTGGGGAGGTGCTGGAAGACAAAGTTAGGTTTAAGGGGGGCACAAAGCCCATGGCAGCCTTTAGGTTAAAGCAAGCACCACGGCAAAGGGAGATCTAGGGTCCCTCTCTTCTCCCTTTATGCACCCATGTGGATAAGATGTGCTTATGCTCTTGGCACAAGAGGGGTTTTTATCCAGAGGGAGTATAATGATGCATAGAGGGGGCTGTGAGGCTCTGGGAGAAGAAGTGAGGTGGGAAGGGATGAGGATGCTCCCCAAAAGCAGCGTGGTACAGAGCAGGAGGCGTTTCCACAGCACCTTCTCTCACCTCCCTGTGTCCTCTGGGAGCCCACATGCCTGCAGAACCCGGCGGGAGGACCAGGCCTCGATGGGGGTCCCTCCCCAGGCCACCTCCACCAGCCCGATGGGGGTCCCCAGAGCATCATACAGGGAGCGCCCCAAGAGCCAGCACACGGCCGAGAAGTAGGTGAAATTCCCGTGGCCCAGGATTTCTGCTCAAGAAACAGCAGGCTGCAAAGGGAAACAGTGGGAAAAAACCCATTTCCAAGCTCTCTTCTGGAGGCACATTGCACTCACCAGCTGTTGGGATGGACCATGGCAAATCAATCTGCTCCAGGTCCTCCAGCTCCACGCTGGAGCGGGCAGGCGCCGCAGCAAAGACACGGACGTAGGGATAGCGAGCGGCGGCAGCGAGCTCCTGGCTGGCATTGGCCACCTGGAGAAGGGCCAGGAGCATGCAGGGTGCTTCCCTGCCTGATCCCTACCTGCTCTGCCTGCTCTGTGCTGAGGGGCTTTACCTGCAGGACTGTCATTGCCATGTTGCTCTGCCCACTGCAAAGCCACACGTCTCCAAAGTAGATGTCCCGCAGGGTCACGTTCTCCAAGCCCTGCTCGGCTGTCAGTGCATAGGGACCGCCCCGGTCCATTGGGTTCAGGACAGTTGTCCAAGTCCCAGAAGGTCCTGGAGGAAGAGGATGGTGCTTATCTTCCACCACCCTTATGAAGGCCTCAAGACCTTCACCAGGATGTTGGATGAGCAGCCATCAACCAGTAGTGAAGGACAGGCAACAGAGAAAAGCTTCTCCACCACAGAGACAGGTCGAGGAAATAGATTTCAGAAGGCCTCTGGCATCAGAAGGACCTTTCTCCTGCAGGAATTTAAGGGTTAAAAAAGAAAACCTGGAAAACAAATGTGTGTCAGAGCAGAAGCTGCTGGGAGGAACTGGGATTACAGGAGCAGCTTGGTGTGTGTGACACTGAGATGTCTCCAGCTAATTTTAGAGGCGCCAAATCGAAGCATAAAGATATTCTGCTGGAGCTTAGCATGGATTTTCTGGCTGGATCCTGCAGATCTCCTGGATTGCTGCTCTCCCACAAGACACCCCCAGGCTCTTCATCTTATGGAGGTACCCTTGGGCAGCACTTTTACCCTCCAAAGGTGATGAGCTCCCTCCCAACTCTTCAGGCAGGGATGTAGCTGGGATTTGAGGTTCCCCTGAGCCTTCCCAGCTCCAAGAAGTTTCTGCTTGCACAGGCAAAATCCTTTGGAGCTTAGAGATCCCACAGGGCAGAGATTGAAAGAGAACCTGGAAGTGCTCTGGAGGTTCCTCAGACCTGGTTTAGACAGGGAGAGAAGGTAAATTCCCCCTGTCCCCTGCACAGCCTCTCTGCCACCCACTCCAGCAGCAGCTCAGCTCCCACTGGGCACCCACGGGAGCCACTGAGGCAACCACAGTGAGCAAAGGCTGCACTGCTGGGGAGGGGATGGCTGAGCCCCCCAGGCCCCTGGAGAGGGAAAAGCACAATGTCACCAGCACCTTGCAGCCCCAGGGCAGCAGTGTGACAAACACAGGGGTGCTGCCAAACCCTGCCTCAGCCACCCCACCATGGGCTCTGATTTGGGCTCAGAGCAGTTCTTTGGCCACCAAAACCATCGATTTCTAGTGAAAGTCCGGGACTGACCTTTAACCTGAGCTGTTTTCTCCATGATGACGAGGCCACTGGCACCTGAGAGAGTCAGGGTCACCACGGCCCCGAGCTCCCCGTGGCCCCACACCACGGCCCCCGAGGGCTTCTGCTGCAGCACCATGTGGTCACCATAGTAGGAGGCAAAGCTGAGCATCCCCCCTGGAACCAGCAAACAGTGCAAACATCAGCTCCCAGAGAAAAACACCCTGACCCCCTCTTAAATACAGATTATTTGAGATCCCACCTAATTTACAGATTCCTGGTCAGCTTTAAGGTGGTTAAAATCACCACAGAGCTGAGGAAGAGGCAGAATTTAAATTCCACAAGAGGGAATTCACCTCCTAAAGTATAGGGAGCATGTTACATCTTGTATTACATGGATTTGGGTACAGATTTTGGTAAAAATTCCTCTAATAGCATGGGAGTGTCTCTCCCAGCCCAGCCTTGCTAATGAATATTCTGATGTATTTTTCTCTTGGAAAATGGTTTGCCAAAGGTGGGATGGAAAACATCAGGTGTGCAGCATTGGCAAAGAAACCTTCAGTGGGGATGGAAGGAGAAGGCTCAGCCCTGGCACCCCCAAAAGCCCCATTTTTGCAGTGTGAAAAGAAAATCATATTTGAAAAGGGGGTCAGAAGGAATGTGTGAGGGGTGATCTGGGCAGAGAACCCCAGTGACCAAAGCAGAGCTCATGGAGCCTCATCTCCTCTGCAGCCCTAGGCTGGGGAAAGGGAAAGGAAAAGGGAAAGAGAAAGGGAAAGGGAAAGGGAAAGGGAAAGGGAAAGGGAAAGGGAAAGGGAAAAGGAAAGGGAAGGGGAAGGGGAAAGGGAAAGGGAAAGGGAAAGGGAAAGGGAAAGGGAAAAGGAAAGGAATGATGTTCTTGGCCCCTCAGGAGTCAGCTGCATCGCTGGTCCCGCTGCCTCATGCCACAAGGCTCCGGGAGTTATATAAAAAACAAGTCGGAGGAGAAAAAAAAGCCTAAAACTGAGACGCCAGGGAAGAGTGGAAGCTATAAAAAGCAGCTGGGAGGAGGGAAGGGAAGAAGAAGGGAGGAGGGAAGGGAGGAGAGCCCACGAGACACCACCAAGGAGCCGCATGCGGCTCCCACCTTACGTAAAGCATCGTCCCACGGCAGCAGAGCTGGGCCAAGGGCGTTGGGGAGGGGCTGGGGGTGTGAAGGGCATCAAAGTGGGACTCGGGGCATGCAAAGGGCATTGAACTGAGGCTTGGGGGGATGCCACGCCTGTCAAAGTGGGACTCAGAGTGTGCAGAGGGTGTCAAACCGCAGCTCTGGGAGTGCAGAGGGCATAGAAGCAGAGCTTGGGGGTGAAGAGTGTGAAAGATGGGTGGGGGGTAATAAAGGCATCAAAACTGGGCTAAAGGGGATGCAAAGGGCCCCAAAGTGGGGCTGGGAGGGCACCAAGGGCCCCAAAGTGGGGCTCTGAGTAGTGCCAACCTCATCAAAGACGGGCTGGGGGTTCAAAGGTATCAAAGTGGGGCTGGGAGGATTTACAGGAGGCGCCAAGAGGGGCACCCGAAAAGGGGTTGGGGAAATGCCAATGCACATACGAGGCTCGGAGCAGTGCAAAGGGCACCAAATCAGGGCTTGGGAGGGCTTAGGGAATTCCCTCGGCATCGGAGCCGAGCTGCTGTGATGCCAGGGGTTCTGGCGGTGCCAAGTGCCCCGAAGTGGGTCTCGGGGGGTCCCAGGGGAGG